AAAAAAAAAAAAAAAATTTTTTTTTATTTTTGGGGGCTTTAATTTTTTTTTTTAGGGTTTTTTTGAAATTTTTTTTTTTTTTTTTTTTGCAGGTGGGGGGGTGTCATATGTAGCATGAGATGTATGGTAGAGACAACCAGTGTGCACAACAGATGCCATGGAATTGCCACTCTTTGGAGGGGGGTGCACAATAGCCTACTACAATGCAGTTATGTGGTTGTATCAAACTCAAGTCACTGTTGGTCTCTTTGTACCCCATATACTGATCTAGCCTACCTCAGGGTCACTGGATATAATGCAAGTGCCCATCCCAGTGATCAGTTTCTGTGTTCAATACTAACCACTCCCCTTGCTCCTTTCTCTATGCTTTGGAGCACTCATCTGAGCATGAGCAAGCCAGCCACGATGCATTGAAGATATGCAGTGCTGGGCTCTGTAGGGATGTACGTATTTTCTAGGTGGGCCATCCCTGAAGGCCAGAGCAGACTGAGGTCTGCCCTGCAGCCTATGTCTTTTGCTCATGATCTTGCTCTCTACATGGTGCATTTGCAAGGACAGCTGCTCTGGTTATAAAACCAAATCACTTCAGTTTCTGTCTCTTTGTCACTAAAGGTCCCTGGGGAATCAGCTCATTAGGGAAATAATCGCTGCGAGGTTGAGTCATCTACAGTAGTAAAGGGACTCACTGGAGGCCCTCAGAGACAAAGGCACTGGTTCCCCTTGGTGTAGCCACTGTCTTAATTTCAGGGCTGAAGCAGTGTGGACAACCCCTTCTGTGATTTTTGTCTGTCTCATATTTTCCAGCTTATATGACAGTGGCTTATTTGAACGGTTCCTTTTGATGTCAATTCCTTGCTGAGTTCTTCTAGAATTCCGTCCTGTCCCTGCCTCCCTCTTCCTGCATTGATCTCGGTTCTGTGGGCAGCTTCAGCACTCTTCCACCTGTTCCTAAACCCACCTAAAGAATCTCAAAGTGCTGAGGAGGACTGGAAGACAGAAGGCGGAAGTTGCTGTGGGGGTGAGGAATACCGTCTTAGGAACATACATGGTTTTGTTGACTGCACTAAAATCCACCAAGAGACAACACATGTCCACACATTCCTGCCTACCGTGTATGTAGGTGGGAGACCAGCAAGGAGAAGACAGAGTGCAGAAAGCTGCTAACTTTATGTATGTCCTGAAATCAAAGCGGGGCAGGGCTGGAGTCCTTTGTGAATGGTAACACATAATATTGAAAACAATCCCAGGAAGCACGTTATCTTTGCCAAAGTGCAGATCTACTGCCAGACTGATAAGGCTGGAAATCTAACACAGTTCCATTCCATGCCAAGCTGATGTTATTTCCAGTTCAACACAAACTTGCCCCAGCTTCAAAGCTGACCTCATGTATCCAAACACACTGGACTTCCTTTATGAAACCCAAGAACTGGTCACTTTAACCTGATGTAAGTCTGGCTTTCTGTCACTTCTTGTAAGGAGGTGAAGGGTTCCCATCTGTTTAAAGAAAACAACACCAAGTTCCTAGACAATCTCTTGACTCCAGGGCCAAGACTAGAAACTGGCTATGTTCTTTACAAATATTTTGCCCATTTCCCTTGGAGAAATAAGCTGATAAGGTTGGCTTAGGAAACTGACCCTGGGCTGGATGAGATTCTGAGACCCTTGGGTCAAAAGGAAACTTATAAAACCACAGATACTAAGGAAAGGGATGAATTTAACTCCCGACTCTGCATAATAACAGAGTGTTTATGAGTAAGAAGAAATAGCTATTTTTGTTTCTAGTTTGGACTAAAATGAAGTCAATCAAAATCACAGCCTATGAAGATACATTACCAATTTTAACACTCAGTGAAATATTATTCCATTCAAGAACCACTGATTTTAAGTATATTTATAGTAATACAACTGCATGTGTCAGTATAAAACTATCTATTCATCCATCTATCTGCCTACATATCTATGCTAGCTACTTTTCTCTCTTCTGAGAACAAATCCCTGACATAAACAACTTAAGGTGAGGAATTATTTTATTCTCACTCACAATTTCAAAGGATTCGGTGCACCGTCATTTGGCTCTGTGATTATGCGCACACTGAGACAGAGTACATCGTGGTAGCAAGAGGGCATGGCAGAGGAGCTTCCTCCTGTCTTGGTAGATAGGTAGTAACAAAAAGAGGCTTATGTGTAGAGACCAGGGCAAGATAGAGCCCATAGCGACATACCCTCAGTGACCTAGTTCTTTTAATGAGGCCCCACCTCTTACCTTTCACCCTCTCCTAATACAACCCTCATACAATGGATCTATCAAATATTAATTTATTCATTAGACCAAAGCTTGTGTGATCTAATGAGCTCTGAAGATATCCTTACTACATAGGAAGTGGGCTTTAGTCATCAATCTCCTAGATGTTTCTCAATCCAATCAAGTTGAAAAGGAAGAAGAATCGCCACACTATCTCTTCACCTCTCTGTCTCTCCATATGTCTGTCACTAATCCTCTGTCAATCATCTCTCCATCTGAGTATGGCCTTCTGTCATCCTTCACTGTACTTCAGTCAAGAGCATTAATATTTTCTGTGTTTGTTGCTTTTCCGGCTCCTACAGCAATGCCTGGCACACGGTGGCCTTGCTATCCACTGAATGAATGAAGGCATGGTTTTTAAGCTGAGAGGAAGCATAACAAAATGGTCTTTTGAGCAGAGCCATTGTAGAGCTGATGCTTGATAGAAATCCAAAACCAAAAGGGCAAGGAAGGAGGAGGTGTGGAGCTCTACCGTGGTCCCTCCCTGCCTGTGATCATGGGTATCTGAGAGGAGGCTCACAGTTGAAAGGATCATGTGGACATGGAGAATACAGAAATGAGAGCATCCAGGGTACTTGCCTATTTTTCAGTCTGAAAAGATATTGACCTGAATGAAACAGATAATCTCTTAATCATGGTCTTGTCTATCTTGAATAGTAGAATTAGTATTAGTAGTAATCCTAATGTTATATTTTTATAACAGTTCATATTTTTCAATGTTTGGGTGATGCTATTCACCCAAATAAACCAATAACCTACCTTCCTCCCAGGGCTAGTTAGAGGTAGAGGAGAGCAGTGTCTGGGCTTCTGGGCTCCAGGTCTGTTTCTGGATACCATCCTTTCCTCTGCTGATCACATTCTCTTGTCATGCCGAGAGATCAGAGTCCTTGCATTTCCCTCCTGCTCTCTGAGAAATGCAATCTTCTACTTTCTCAGCATATTTTACCTCAATAGCAAGCAAGCCTCCTGACTTCCAAGAGGGCAAACCATATTGCACCTAAGGGCGGGAAGAAATCACCAAAGGCAAAACATTCACCTGTCACCATTGTCCAGGAAATATCATGGATGAGGCCTGAAAGGGCTAGTCCAATGAGGAGTGGATGAGATCTGGGTCTCTAGACCAGTAGATTGCCATCCCCATGATGGCATCTGTTCAAAGCATCTACTATATCCTGACACTATACTAAATCCTATAGACTCCATTAGCACAAAATGTGGTCCTGTCTTCAGGCATGTAAGATAGAATTGAGAGGAACACACACACACACACACACACACACACACACACACACACTTACATACATGCATTCATATGATTAAAATGTTAAATGGGAGAGTGCTCTTTAGAGATCATCTCCCAC